TGTCCTTAGCGAAAATGCAATCCGCGGCTTCGTTTACGAGTTATTAACGAAAAACAGTGCGCCAATCAGAGGCGAGATCATTTGGCGCGCGGCGCCAATCGTTTGCCGTGCGCTCGTTGGCTGGGCCGCCGCGCGTCAGGCAAGCTCGCCTCTCATTGGTCAGTGTTTTTCGTTAATAACTCGTGAACGAAGCCTCGGAGAACATTTTCGCAAAGGAAAAAGTTGCTTCGAGTGATCTCAGGTATCTCCCATTTCCGGATTGCGAGACATTTTCGGGACACCCTGTATACGGCTCTGCCGCGCGCGCTTCGCGCGATCCCCTGTCTCTTATCTCCGAAGAAAACCGCCGCGGTTCTGACGCATGCTCGAGGGAGCGGGGTCGAATCGTGGGAAACCGGCGGGACGCGAACGGCATCGTTTCGAATCCGAATCCTCGATTCCTCCGGCCGATCGCTCGGAGAAATCTGTAAACGTTCGCCGGCTGAATAAACCGGCAACGATGGTTAGATAAGCTCGACGGAGGCCCGAGTGTCAGCTTGTGAATACGCCGGCTCTGAATTCGAACAATTTAGTGGCTGATTAAGCGGAACGCATCGGTCATGAGGCCGTCGTCCCGGGTCTCTTCCCTTCGCAACCGCAACGCGTCCGCTCTCGGGCTTTCGAAATCGAGCTGACGGACGTTTATTCGATGGATCGCGGAAGGGTGTGCTCTGGCTTCTCTGTTCGTCTTTAACCCCTCGACTGCGGCAAGTTTCGAGACGCGCCGACCGTACCATACGGCGGGAATTGAGTCACGATGTACGCCGATCGCACGGCGATCTTTTGGGTAGGGATGCATTTTTGTGAAAACATATCTCGGTAATCGAGAAACTGAATTTCACCGCATTGAAACGATATTATTCATTTTTCTCTGAACCAAATTGCTATAAATATTACGAAATTTAATATTAACCCTTAACGGTCCAATGCCGCCATATACGCGACAGAAATCCTGCCGCGTAAATTTCCTGCCAGTAGAATCTGGCAGGAAACGTTGGAAGAATAGGCGCGATTGTTTCGATGAAAATATATCAACGAAGTTTTATTTTTAAAAAATGGATATCTCTTCTCTATGTTTGATAGAAAAATTTTCAGTAAGAAATTTCTCTTCGTCTGAGAAAAACGGTCTGGACTTAGCAGTGTGTAAACTGGAAATAAATAGTTTTGGTATCCTAAGGGTTGATATTAACCCTTTCGGTACGAGCGCGCTGTCCGCCGTGACACTCCCACCCTGTACAGGGTGCTGCGACGAAAATGCGCGCATAGCACAGTGAGTCAGTCCACTTTTGTACGAAGATTCTCATAAGCGTTAAGTAATAAATAACTGTGCTTAATCCGTTTCTAAATCTTTTGTTTCCTGTAAACATTCTGTAAAGGGCCTACGATATGTTAACAAATCTATGAACAAGTTTCGAAGAAAAATGTAACCTGAAATTTTGTAAATCAATTCAGATCAAACGACAATTATACATTTACATATTATACATTTTTATATAATTATTAATTATAATTAAATTAATTATATATAATATATTATATAAATATATATTACAATTATATCTTTTGGAATCCTCGTAAGAAAAGACCTTATCCGTTTGAGTCGTAGGGATTATTGGAAAATATGGGATTATTGGAAAATAATACGGTCGAAAAATGCCAAACAGCATGATAACGCGCTCGTCTTAATTGATCGCGAAGAGAATCAAGCGACGCGATAGCGCTCGTCAAAATTGACAAACAAAACAAACAGAAAAAAGAATGAAGAAAAAAAAGCAGCTATATGCGATGTTCGCGCGTCACTAAAGTTTGATCGCGACACAAGATCCGAACAGCGCGATCGCACTTGCTTGGGACTCAAACGGTTATTAGAATAATTTCTAATATGTCAGAAATATGACTCGCACGAATGCCAGATGTATTCGGCACTCGTCCATATACCGGTCATCAGATGGGTGCCGGGTATATCCGGCGCTCGTACCGAAAGGGTTAATGTAAAACTTTATACAAGATCTATCGGAATATGTAAATATCGATAGAATTCTCAGGGCGCCTATGGACACCCTCCGTGAAAGAAAAACCAAACTGCGTCGACGCCTAAAGGCGCTCTCAGTGTCACAATCGCAAAATTCTAAGCGCCTATAGGCGCCCTTAGTAGTTAGGGGTTAACCCATTGACTGCCACGCAAATTTAGTGCATCTTGCCCTGGGTGCCACGGTTTTTTATTATTTATTTATTATTTATTTTAAAGAAAACATGAAGTTTTACAAAATATAATAATATTAAGTCACTGATATAATATTGCAATGGCATTTACAGTATGTTTTTATTATTGATAATCAATGTGTTCTCTACACTATACAGGGTGTCCCGAAAATGTCTCGCGATTAGGAAATGGGAGGTTCCTGAGATCATTTGAAGCAACTTTTTCCTTTACAAAAATGTTCTCCGAGGCTTCGTTTACGAGTTATTAACGAAAAACACTGACCAATAAGAGGCGAGCTTGGCTGGCGCGCGGCGGCCCAGCCAACGAGCGCACGGAGCCCGGTCCCGCTCATCGGCTCGGCCACCTCGCGGCAACTGATCTTGCCTCTCATTGGTCACTGTTTTTCGTTAATAACTCGTAAACGAAGCCGCGGATCGCGATTTCGCTAAGGAAAAAGTTGCTTCAAATCACCTCAGGAATCCCCTAATTTCGAATCGCGAGACATATTTGGAACACCCTGCATACATTTTTCATTCATCCTTTCTAACAGTTCCCAACTCAACTAGCCCCATTTCGTAGCCAATCTAAACTCGCCAATTTAAACACTACGAGATATCTCGTAGCTGGCAGTTTTGGTACAGACGCCTGCTACGAGATATCTCGTAGTTGGCAGTTTTGGTAGAGACGCCTGCTACGAGATATCTCGTAGTTGGCAGTCAATGGGTTAACGAACCTTGTTCCCTCGCTCGAAAATGGTAGCAGCTTCCCTGGGCCTGCCGCAATGACGGCGCGGGTCCCCGCGGCAGCCGCCGCCGCCATAAATCGATCTTAGAAATTAAACGGTTTACATAACTCCCGCGAACGAAGGATCCGCGGCGCGAAGATCGGCATCGTCGGGGGAGTTCGACGGATGATTACCTCACACCGGTTCAAGAACTTTCTTTCGCGAGTGCATATTATGAATCTCATACAAAGAAAGTATGACCGATTACGTAAAAGGCATTTCGCTCGCCCTTACGGCGATCCGACGTTAAAGTAAAGGCAGCCGGAGAGGCGACGCGACGCGACGCGTCGACGCGCGGCGATTACGATGATGGCTTTCGGACGGCGCGGCGCGGCGCGATCGTTCTAATCGTTCGATCGTTCTGACAGTAGGCGATGATGTGTGTACAAGCGGGCCCCGGCAATACGCCTGCATAGAGACGTATAATCGACTTGTGAAATTAGGAACGGCGGCGGTCTTTCAACCGAAACTAATGAAAGCCACATTTAAGCCGAGACACACTGTCTTCGACGTTCCGGATCCTCGCGGTAGGTGAAGAAGGTGCCCGGCGGAGGTCGGAGGAGAACGTTTTCCTAGTCGCCTATACGTATCATCGTCATCCTGCACGTGAACAATTTTTAATCACCGACGAGTCCCTTTCTTCGGGACGCTGCGCTCTATCTCCGGGCGAAAGCCGCGGTACCGCCGATAAATCTCGCGCGTTCGGCTACCCTAAATCACTGTTCCTGAAATGAAGTCGTCGAACGGACAGAACAATGGGTAACGGAGGGTTAATCGGTGCAGCGGGATCGGTCTCTCGACGCGCACGGATTCCGCTCCCCGCGGGAAAAAGCGGCGTGTATGGTTTTCTCCGCGGAGACGAAGAAACGGCGGCCGCGAACGAGGAACTGCGAATGTATAGGATCGCCCCGCGGGGTAAGATCGCGGTCGTCTCGAAAGACGGGACGACGAAACGAACTGTGCGGTATCGGGAAGCGATCGAAGAAGCGGCGGCGCCGATTGGGAGGCGTCCGCCTGGGAGCGTGAACACGGTTGACCCGCGGTGGATCGTTAAGCCGCGGCGAGTTACGTGCCGATCGGTAACAGAAGAAACGATTTGGAGCGGCTCCTCTCTAATACGTACACGATCGTACCACCGTGATCCAGCGTGATCCGATGCGCAACGCATTCGTGGTTGCGCAACGGATCGACGGTTGCGGAGGAGCTTGCGTTGCTCTCCATAGAGCCATCCCCGCGCGCGGCATCGTGGATGATGATGACCCCGGCGCGATGTCGGACACCGAGCGACCGATATAATTACAAGGAGGAACGCACCGCGTCTTAGGATCGTGCCCGGCTGTCTACGCAATCGAGGATATCAGAGAAGAAGAGACGCGTTCGCGGCGCCGGTACCCGCCGCGAACTCTGCTCGCCGCGTTCCTCTTCTTCTTTTCCCTCCAACGCCGCGCGGATCCGTCCGTCTTTTCCCGATGGGAGCCCGTAACCTCTCTTTTTCTCGTCGCGGCCCGTTCGCCCGTCTATGCTCTCCCACATGCCAAGCTCGGTTCACTTTCATGTCGACCCGATTAGCCGACCTTCAGGTCCGACTCGAGATGCCCGCCGATCTGTATCACCCGGCTTGCGCAACCGCCTCCCCAGCCCCGCGTCCCTACCCGAGAGTGCTCATCTTCGGCCGCCCTCTCCCCCTTCGTCGGTATCCTCCTCCTCCTCCTCCTCCTCCACCTCCTATTCCTCCTCCTCCTTTTACATCGTGCCGATCGCCGTGCGAATCCTTCTCCTCCGCCGCCCGTCCCCCCGGAGTTCGCGAACTTCGCCGAGGGACACGGCGCACCGGGTGTTCGTCAGGCCCAACGAGACTACTCTGGTTGCGTCGCCGGGTGGGAGGAAGACGAGCCTCGAGTACACCGGATCGGTATATAAGCAGGCTCGCTTCGACCTGGATCTACACAGACCAATTATTTGCCATCGTTTGGCCATAGAGACACGTTACGGCTGTGCGACGAATAGCATCGAGAGGAGGGCTCGCGTTCATAGAGGAGCGGATTCGACGCCGAGATGAGATCGGTAAACGAGAAGACCGGACTCTCTGTCTGTTGGCCGCCGCCACGGTGTGTCCCGCGACTTCCGGTCCCCGGGCCCTCGAGTCAGTGGCGTCGGCTCGCGACGGACCGCCGCACGAGAACGTCGCCCGATTCGTTTTGTTGCTTCGCTTTGAGATCCGTTTGTTCACGAGAGCCGCGCCGGGAACTCTCAGAGAGAATTTGCAAGTTGGTGAACCGGGACGGAGTGCGAGCCTCGGGATGACATGCGCCAAGTGACGGCCTCGGACGAGATGATCGCTTCGGTCCGAGCAACGAGCGAACTCGTTTCTTAGCTTGCGAGGGACTCGAGGTTGATAAGCGATAAGCGTCGATTTTTAGGGGACTTTGCGTAAGTGTTTCGGTCCGTTGGACCTGTTCTATTATTCGGTCGCATTTCGTTCGTTTGTTTCTCGTTTTTCTTTTTTTGCTTTACAAGAGAAATCAACCCTTGCGCGTAACGGTTGAAAAATCGCGAACGACGAAAGATACAGTTATGTCTCTCTAATTGACTCTCGGATGGTGTGCAAAGATGGACAATTTGGGAAGAGGAGATGCGATTATTCGAGCCTTGTAGTTCGTTTTTATAGTTGCTGAGAATCGGTAATTATGAAAATGTGGCGCAAGACGTATCTCCTCTTCCCGAATTGTCCATTTTCGTGGACAATCTGAATGTCAATTACAGAGACATTACTGCACTCGAAAATATAGTAAAGTCTCTCTAATTGACTCTCGGATGGTGTGCAAAGATGGACAATTTTGGGAAGAGGAGATACGATTACTCGAGCCTTGCGGCTCATTTTTACAGTTGCTGAGAATCGGTAATTATAAAAACGTGGCGCAAGACTCGAATTAATCGTATCTCCTCTCCCCGAATTGTCCATTTTTGTAGACAATCTGAATGTCAATTACAGAGACATTATTGTACTCGAAAATATAGTAAAGTCTCTGTAATTGACTCTCAGATCGTGCGCAAAGATGGACAATTTGGGAAGAGGAGATGCGATTATTCGAGCCTTGTAGTTCGTTTTTATAGTTGCTGAGAATCGGTAATTATAAGAACGTGGCGCAAGACTCAAATTAATCGTATCTCTTCTCCCCGAATTGCCCATTTTCGTGGACAATTTGAATGTAAATTACAGAGACATTACTGTACTCGAAAAAAAGTAATGTCTCTCTAATTGACTCTCAGATCGCGCGCAAAGATGGACAATTTGGGAAGAGGAGATGCGATTATTCGAGCCTTGCCGCTCGAAGTTTTTATAGCAACCGATTGTCGATAACTATGAAAACGAGCCGCAGGGCTCAATCGTGTACCGCCTCTCCACAAATTATCCATTTTTGTTTCCTGAGCTGAGCGTCGATTATATAGAACTTAATGTTGTTCGAACGAAAGTTGCATCGTATTTCTGGGCCCGCGAAACTGAGCCCGCCCGCGTAATTCTTCTTTCTCTTCAAAAAGCCGCGGTTCTCCTCGGTTTCGCAAAAATATCATTCTCCTTCGAGAAAAGTTTTTGCACAGATTTCTCGACTCAAGAATACGTACACGACTTTCATTTTTACCGATATCGTTGGAATCGCCGGCGATTTTTAAAGCATTTTCGCTTGAAAGGTTGATTCGCTTAAAAGTGTTGATTTCTCCCTTAAAAAATAAAAAAAAACAAAATAACGAGCACGAACGACGACTAAGTAATTGAGCAGCGTCTATCGAACACTTTCTGCCAAGTTTCATCGAAATCGGTGCGCTTCCGATCGCCGAGATTACCTCGTTAGTTTAGAACAACGTTCTGAAAAAAAACGTCAGAAATCTGAGGTAACGTCACTGTTGACAGCTCGCCTTGGCGGTATTTGCCGTGGCTGCCACGTGTTACGCGGCCCGACTGGACAACACTTACCTCCCTCCGGGAAATGCGGGTAGCGCGGGCGGCGGTGGATTGATCCAGGCCCCTAACCGGGGACCTGGCGGCCCTGGCGGACCCGGCGGTCCCGGCGGACGGGGTGGTCCCGGAGGACGCGGACCTGGGGGACCAGGCGGCCCTGGAGGTCCTGGTAGTCACGGAGGACCGGGAGGACCCGGCAGACCGGGTGGACCAGGTGGCTTTGGAGGAGGTGGCGGCGGACCTGGCGGCGGTGGATACGGCGGCGGAGGACCTGGGGGCGGTGGATTTGGCGGCGGCGGATCCGGGGGCGGTGGATTTGGAGGCGGCGGTGGAGGAGGATACGGTGGCCGTGAGTATTTTTGTTCCTTCTTAACAAATTAAAATATTGAAATATTTGAGAATATTAATAATAAAATTATATGTTAATAGTAATACTAAAATTTTGAGAATAAAGAAAATACATATTATACATACATATATGACAATGCAATATAATACATATATATTTTCTTTATTCTCAAAATTTTAGTATTATTACTAATATATAATTTTACTATTAAAAAATATTCTCAAATATATATACATGTCTTCTACTCGTTGTAAGTAAATTTAATATAGTAATATTTAAATATTTGAACGAGAATAAATATACATACATGTATTCTTCTTCTTTTTGATTCTCGTTCAAATATTTGATTCTTTTAATTCAATGTTCTATGTTTTATTTTATATTAGTTTATAATATTTAAAATAAGAATTTACATATATATATATATGTATATATGTATATATATATATCTTCTACTCGTTGTAAATTCTTATTATAAATATTACAAATTAAAATAAATTCTTATTTCCGAAACATTCAAAGAGCGCAATCATGGTTGTCCCGAGTTTTCGCAATGCGAATTCCATCCGTAAGAGAAGATCTCTTACCCAACGTTTCGTTCGATCCTGTTCCCACAAAATCATAATTTCGAACCGAATAGCGAGAACTCGAGTGATTCGAATCGAACGTAAAACGAACGAAGAATGAATAATGTTCGCGTTTTTGAATGCACATACATCGGAGCAATTTCCGTGAAAGACAAAGGGAAACCACTTTGTCTAACGATGAGAGTGGCCCGCGTGGTCGTAGTTACACCAATTATGTAAAGTATGTCGTGGAATTAGCGCCTCGACAGCGAAAGAAAAGTGAAAACCGCTAACGCGGAATGCCTAATCGCTCCGAATCCCCCTCGAGGCGCTCCCGTCTAATGAAGACGCCGCATCTGAGGACGGCTGTGTGTCCCAAGTACGATTCCGAACTCGGTGAGAATTCGCGGCGGCGGCGGTTGCGAGAATCGGAACGCATCGGAACATCTCGTGTGTCGTTCCCTTTGTGCCGTGTAATTAGTCTCTATTCAATTACGAATTAAATCTCCGGCACGCCGGGTCGTGGGTTTCTCCGGTTTCGTGGCGCAACCCCCCTCGGATTGCGCAGACACGTCGATCGATAACGAGAACCGATTATGCCCCCGGAACGGTTTGATCGATGTTTCTACGGGGAAAATCGTCGTGGAAACGTCTCGTCGTTAAACGAGAACATTTTCCGATCTCGTTAAAACGCTTTCGGTGAAACCTTTTCTTGAAATCGGACCGAGTCGAAGGCTGTCGCAAATTGTTCCACGGTGAATTTCGAAAATTCCTGGAAAAAGAAATCGCGTATAAATATTAATATATTCATATATATAAGTATAATTAAATGTTGTATCGGTTACTTTGTTCTTTTTCAAAAGAATCGAATTTCTCGCTGGACAACTGCTAGCTTATTCGTGGATCGTTTCGAATTTTCATCGGTTCCTTCTTTGCATTTCCATTTCAGCAGCTGGGGGTGGCGGCGGCGGCGGGGGTGGCGGACCCAGGGGCGGACCGGGCGGCGGCGGCGGCCAAGAGATTCCGATCATCTCGTACAATAACGATAACGGCGGAGACGGCAACTACCAGTTCAGCTACGAAACAGGAAACGGTATCAGTGCGCAGGAAACCGGCCATCAGCAAGGTGAGATCAGGGTCACACGGGTTTCCCAACAACCGTATCCCGAACTCGTCTTCGCGGTCCGTCGCTATCATGTTTCGGTGTTATGAATTCCTATCCATCATCGCGTCCATCCTCGAGTGTACTCGTTACAACAGACCCGGTGAACGGAATGCGGTATGCGCGGGGTCGACCCACGAGCCACCCTGCGCTATGGAACCGTCGAGTCGATTGTTTCGATATTTCAAGTCACGCTATTTATATTCAGAGAAGTCGTCTAATATTTTACCATTACTCGTTTATCGATCACGGCAAGCGAGAAAGTTTCCTTTCCTCGGTATCTAATTCGTCGCGATATGGCTGTTTTCCACAAGTTAGAAGCAACTCTATATTCATCTAACGATGAAAAAAGATCGATTCGCGTCAGTGAGGAGCAGGAACGGCAAGATCTGATCCAAAACGCGAGCTTCTTCCGGCTTTCGACAGATCCCTCGGGCAACTTAGTATTCCTATTTCGGTTCGTGATGAGTGATCACCGAACAATGATTGCTTCTAACAAGCTGGAAAGCCGCAAAAACAGCCGATAGAGTGACGCAATCGGCTCGACCGCCGCCTGTTGCGTCAAACACCATGCGTTGTTTCTGCGCTCTGTACGGGCAACGGGATGCGGCGAGCGCAATACATACGTATACAACTTGTTACACGGTGCTCTCCGCAACGCTTTGAACTTGAGAGCTAAGATGCCGTGGTGAGAAGTCTTTATTTCGTCGATTGATTTCCGATGATTTTCACGGCCAATAGTTTTTACTTTAAATTTGCTTCGCCTTAAATTTTCGGTGCTCTCCCCTTTAAATTAATATACAAAAAAATAATATAATTATATATAATAATATATTATATATTATATTATAATTATATATATAATTACAATAATATATAATAATAATAATTTATAACTATATATATAATTATATATTATATTATAATTTAATAAAATTATAATATAAAAATATATAACTATACAATATTAAAAAATACATATTCCCTTGTTCGCAGGGAACGGGGAAGCGGTGAGCGGTTCGTACTCGTACACAGGACCCGACGGCGTGCAATACAGCGTGCAGTACACAGCGGATGAAGAGGGTTTCCATCCCCAGGGTGCGCATCTTCCGACACCACCTCCAATCCCGCCAGAGATTCAACGGGGCGTCGAGTTAGCGCTTGCTGCCGAGGCTAGAGGCGAGAATCAAGACGGGGGTGGTGGTGGTGGCGGCGGTGGTAATGGCGGCGGCAGAGGAGGATACTCTCCAGGGGGTGGTTACGGTATGTTGCATCGATGACAATCTCTTGAAAATGTTTCTCGGCTCGCGTTTCATCGTAATTGGCTGGCAGAACGTTCATTGAAATGTTTATTATCAACGCGTTCTAACTGGTTGTTTCTGCTTTATGAACACAGGAAACGGCGGTGGTGGCAGCGGCGGCGGCACTGGCGGCGGAGGTGGACCCCGAGGGGGTGGCGGTGGCGGCAGCGGCGGCTCTTACCAAGGTCCAAATTCATACCAAACAAGTTCGGGTGGATACCATTACTAGATAACGACACCGTAAAAGTTATTGAATATTATACGATTCAATTCTGTTCCATTACAATAATTGTATTTAATGGCGGATTTATGTACATAAGAATATATCGTTTATGTAACTTTTTTATTTATACAAAGTACGCGTTGTTCATTTGATTGTACCTTCCCCCCCCCCCCCCCCCCCCCCCCTCCCCCTCCCCCCCNTCGCAGGGAACGGGGAAGCGGTGAGCGGTTCGTACTCGTACACAGGACCCGACGGCGTGCAATACAGCGTGCAGTACACAGCGGATGAAGAGGGTTTCCATCCCCAGGGTGCGCATCTTCCGACACCACCTCCAATCCCGCCAGAGATTCAACGGGGCGTCGAGTTAGCGCTTGCTGCCGAGGCTAGAGGCGAGAATCAAGACGGGGGTGGTGGTGGTGGCGGCGGTGGTAATGGCGGCGGCAGAGGAGGATACTCTCCAGGGGGTGGTTACGGTATGTTGCATCGATGACAATCTCTTGAAAATGTTTCTCGGCTCGCGTTTCATCGTAATTGGCTGGCAGAACGTTCATTGAAATGTTTATTATCAACGCGTTCTAACTGGTTGTTTCTGCTTTATGAACACAGGAAACGGCGGTGGTGGCAGCGGCGGCGGCACTGGCGGCGGAGGTGGACCCCGAGGGGGTGGCGGTGGCGGCAGCGGCGGCTCTTACCAAGGTCCAAATTCATACCAAACAAGTTCGGGTGGATACCATTACTAGATAACGACACCGTAAAAGTTATTGAATATTATACGATTCAATTCTGTTCCATTACAATAATTGTATTTAATGGCGGATTTATGTACATAAGAATATATCGTTTATGTAACTTTTTTATTTATACAAAGTACGCGTTGTTCATTTGATTGTACCTTCCCCCCCCCCCCCGCCCGCCCTTTCGCAATGAGTGCAATCTCAATCTCCATACGCTAATAACAATTATATACAGATATTGTTTCATATATTATTATTATTAGTTAGTAATGAATATATATATTTTTTTAAATACGCGCGTGTACACATCTTTTGCATTATAATCTCATATATAATACTATTAAACATAGTGCCCAATGAAATGTGTGTATATTAATACAGACAAGAAAGACATTTTGAAAGGATCGTAATATTATAATATATATTATAATATTTCGAAATAGGCTGATTGTTACGGTATTTAAACACCTAAAAATTGAATTTAAGCTGCAAATTTTAAGTTGATAATAATATCTCGAGATAGAACTATTGTTACGTTATTTGAACGCCTGTTTATTACACATCGCCATTTGTAAGGTCCCTGTTTGACTGCTCAGTTCCTCTGGCGAATTGAATAAATAGCTGCTCTAATGTAGCCGATAAGACGGCGTAATCCTCGATGCAATTGACTCGTATTTTCAACTCATCCATTGTTCTGTACATTTTCTCCCACGTTGTCGCAGCATCGTTCACATGGTACGCGAGAAGGCCCTTTGTAAAAAAAGTAATTGTTATCACCGGTGTGTCCAACATATAAACGAATTCACAGTAGTCTAAACACGTTACCAAATTCTCATCCCTGATTTCGCACGTTAAAGAAGACTCCATAACGTTCTTAATAATACTAAGATCACTGTCCGATCGGCTTGGGTTTAATTTGATGTGAATATCATAGCCGGCACCGAAACGTTGCTTCAATTCCTGGCTAGCTCCGATGCAAACCAATTGACCTTTCACCATAATGACTAGTCTGTTGCACAAAGCTTCACATTCCTCCATGCTGTGGAATTTTTATTTTATGTAAATCATGGTACTGTGGCTTTGTAATAATATATATTACCGAGTAAAGTGAAATACCTGTGCGAAGTAAGTATAATAGCTTGTCCCAATGCCTGACAGGACTGAAGTATATTCCACAAAGACCTCCTGGCAGCAGGATCAACGCCAGTCGTTGGTTCATCCAGTAGAACAAGGGTTGGATTTCCTATTAATGCCATTGCGATATTCAAGCGCCTTTTGTTACCACCACTGTAAGTACTGCTTGGCTGTGACATGCACGCGTTTAGATCTGAAATAATGCAAATATTAGAGAAGTTCATCCAACGATTCTTCGAAACAACTAAATGAAGTTTACTTAGTCGATTGATCCATTTATTCACTTCTAGATCAACTTTTGATTTGGGTATTCCACGAAGTAAGGCAAACAGTCGAAGATGATCAAAAGAGTTCAACGATCCAAGCATGGCGTCGGTTTGTGGACAATATCCCATTTGAGCCAAATACTGCAAAGATAGTCAATATAGCAACAAGAAAATACATCATTGACAATTTACATCGAAGAAAATTATATGTTACATTTCTTCGATCCGTGAGAATATCGGACTTTCCTAAATACATGGTGCCGCTGTTTGGCATTTCTTCACCAGTCAACATTCTAAATGTGGTACTCTTTCCAGCGCCGTTTACACCGAGCAATCCAAAGCATTCTCGCTGTTTCACACGGAAATTTATTTCTCTCACCGCCATTAAGTTTCCGTAATATTTGCTCAGCTCGTACACTAAAAAGAGGCTATCATTGTTGTTCTCTAGACTTTCCAAACAGTTAGAATCGGCATTAGGCACTGCCTTGGTATCATTTTCTATTCTGTTGGTTAGATCTATAAACGAAACATAATATTTACTTTAATTTTGCTTTTAAATTTTATCAAATATCCAAAACTTTTTATAACATCATACCGTGCATTTTCAATTTCCTTATCTCCAATGCAACGGCGCGTTTCTCTTTCTCCACTTCATCGTCTTTTATATCAACTGCGTTCCTTAAATGTTTACCAAACATCTTGATATAAAATTTTTTGAACACTCCCTCTTCCAACATAATAAGCAGGGAAAAATATATCAAAGGTGTTACTGATAGATATATTATACATTCGGTTAAGTTCATATCGGTGTCTTCGGTGTGAAAATAGGAAAGCTGATTTTTACAATCACCATCATCGCATTCCAATCCTGCAAAGAACATATTATTCAAATACTAAGAATTAAACAATATTGCTGTTAATTTATTCATACCGCAACAAATATCCTCTAGCCTAGGACATACGACCGTCAACAAACGATTTGGCAGTCGTCGACATCTTGCATTTTGTACAGCGACATTGTAAAATGATAATTGACCATGAAATAGACTCACATGCGGTACCAAACGGAATAATCTTTTTTGAATCATGTGTAAAACTCTTAAATTAGTGAAACTGTGAATCACTTGGTGCAAAAGGTATTGCAAAAAGACTGAAATACAACAAAACATGTTTGGTATCAACTAATTATATAAATCGAGACTTGTCAAATAATGTACAATTCTCTAAAACCCTTAAACGACTAGTCTCTTGAAAATTTACATTGATAGATTTATAATAATAATAAAATATAACTCACCAAACCCGATGGGCACAAGACTCAACATACTCACAACGCTATGTCTTGATAAATTTAAAAAGCTAAAGATGTAACTTACAAATAAAGAGTTGATGCCAAAGAGAAGTAGTATCAACAATATCGTTACTGAAAACAAGATCAAAATAATTGCACAGGTAACCAAAGTGTATTAAAGATTTAGCTATTTGTAATATTTGATTGGCTTACACATCTCTATCTTGTAGTACACTCGAGTATCCAGAATAATATCAATAATGTAATATCCAAACATGATAATAAGTACAGATACTATGTAAACTAGTAAATCAAATGTGAATATAGTGAGCCAATACGATATAGATGAAACACCTGTCATTCTTTGCAACTGTTTCATTTTGGTCTCTGTTTCTTGAAAAGGGTGGATAACAAAAAGGGCCACAGTGGGAAAGAAAAAGCAACAAAACATCAAGACTTGACTTAATGATTGTGTTTCTGGCATGTCTAATTTTGTCGCAGAAAGGCTACTTGGAAATTTTTGGTTCGATACATGGATGGAGTATTCTTCACCAGCAACACTTTTGATGAATGCATTTGATAAAAGATTCACTGTTATCGGTAAGCTATGAAGCGCAATACCAGAATAAAAACCATTAGCATACAATGCACCATCCGAAGTATTGAATTCCGCAGAAACAATGTATCTATTACGATATTCCGAAATACTTTTAATGGACTGGTCCAATAAAGCTAGAAATGAAAACTGCGTTAACATTTCACTTGCAACCGCATTACAACATTCACAAAAAGAAATTGTAAGCAATATTTACCATGCGTAACACTTAGATTCTCTGCTACTTCTATTGCAGTACCACCAAAACTTTCGACTGCACTCTTGTAATACCTGCCCATAGAAGTATTTGGACTTGAATATAACACTTTGGGGCTTCTATACATGTTAAGTCCTACTGGAAATTCATTTGTTGATTCACGTGGTGGACTATTACTTAGACCCATTAATACAACAGATATAAGTGGGAGAAACAACTGAAGAATTAAAATTCCTATTAAATTTGGATACTTTTGTAGCCTAGAATTATTCAATCTGTGCAACTTACAATGAATAAAGTGTTACTTAAATTTTTTACAGTATACGTATATTTTTTATGGTAAAGTGCCAAAATTGTCTGCACACATAAATTCCAACCATCTACCCGTTGTGATGGCGGACTAAATGATTCATTTAAATATTTTCCATTATCTTCCTTTTTAATGACTCTGGAAATAAAAGTAAATGTGTAATATTTCTTTTATCGGCTACGTTAATTAAGGGCGGGATACATTTAAGTATAACATACTTCAGAAATACTTCTTCTAAAGTAATTAGCGATACACTGATTCCTGTAACACCTAAATTCTTTTTCTGACTTTCCACGTTATCCAAAGATTCTGGTAAAGTTTCAGTGGATGGTACGCTTAAAACAATCTTCTCACTATCCACATTCACTTGCTGCGTTCTTGGATCAAATTTTCTTATAACTGTATCGGCATTACACCATGATTTAGTTGATAATATAACTTCCATGTGGCCATAGCCTAAAACCCACCAATGTATAAATAATTAGTTCCTAAAGCACTTGTAACTTCCACGTAATAAATACCACCAACCATATTGCTTCTTTAGAAATAGTGATGTGCCATAACATTTTAATTTGCCTCCATGTACAATCGCAATTCTATCTCCCAGAATGTCGGCCTCCTCCATATTGTGAGTACTGATCAAGATTGTTTTCTTTCCTCTTACTTTCTACAAAATTACTCACAAGATGAAATTTACACATATATTAATCACTGGCTATATATTTGAAATATAGTATAACATTCTTACTAATATAATGTTCCATATATCTCTCCTAGTTTCGGGATCCATTCCTGATGTTGGTTCATCCATGATTACAGTCTGTAGAAAGTAAATGAAACAAAAAGTCTACTAGATTTTTGTTTTTAAAAGATGAATTTATATTAACATTCTAGTCTGTTTTCCTAAAAATAGAGTTGTGATGTACACTGTTAATTATTATAATTCTCTATCCCATCCCAATCACACCAATGTAATAATATCTGAAACTGTTAGTATACATCGGTATCCTTTTTTCGAAAAACAAGCTTGCACTAGCATCTCGAACAACTCTTACACTAGCATCGCCAACAAGGGCCATTCCAAGGCACAGTCTTCTCTTTTGGCCACCAGATAATGTATTTGGTAGAGCATTTCTTTTTTCATTTAATTTTAATTTGTCAAGTAAAACTGCAATATCTTGTTTGATCTGTTTCCTCGGTTTGTTAAAACCTTTCAACTAAAATACCATGATTAATTTTATTGTACTTAACGCAACGTTACTTGGTTATTAATTATTAAATTACTCACTAAAGCAAAGAATTCTAACTGTTCGTACACATTCAAATCTGGAAACATTAAATTTTCCTGAGGGCATAAACCCAAATCGTTTCTAATGGTTTCTAAATGGGTTGTAATATCTTTACCATTTATAAACACTTTCCCTTCTGTTGCACTTATTACACCTAATAGAAAGTAAATAACAAGTAAACTGTATATGATGTGTAAGAATGCAAAGAATGCTAATGTGTAATATCGCAAAATAATGTACATACAAGGCTTGTATGGTAATATATGTGGTATTATGAAAAATATTAAAATTTTTACCTGTTATAATAGACATGAGTGTAGTCTTTCCTGCTCCATTGTGGCCTAACAAAGCCGTTATTTGTCCTTTATACAAATCTATTGAAATTCCTTTTAGAGCTTGGACTGTCTATAATACAATTATCATAAGAATGATAAAGAATGTTAGAGTACAATTTAAACATACCGTCTTTCTTAGGCAACCAGTCCTATAAGTTTTTTTAAGATTGCGAATCTGAATTCCAGGAGTAAGCACACCCTTTGTTACTGGTTCAAAATTTTCATTATCTATATTTTCGTAATCAAAATTATCAATATCTTCATGAAGGTTCACTTTGTTCTTTTTTATATACTGTAAAATTTATCTTTGTTGGTGAAGGGCTTACATCATATGTATATTAATAAATACTCTTGAATGAAAATATTAAAAAATTTACCTTCAAAAAATAAAATGGTTCCTTGCGTACTCCATACTTCCCTGGCAGTACAGCATTAATATATATTGCAAGTGTGAAATGTAACAACAACCCTAGTAATGAATAAATTAATATAACTCCAACACTTCCAGTAGAATTATATTGTGCATTTCCAACCAAGAACATA